GGGATTCATCAAAAAGTTCACAGTAAACAAAACAAGAAATAAACCAGCACAGTCATGCAATCCACCAAGAGCCATACAGTCAAGACAAGTCGTTCATTCAGTTACATGCAGTAAATAAAGTCAAAGTCAATAACTCACTAAGATATTCAGTCAACACGTCGATATCCCAGTTAAGAAGGTAGTATGTCAATAGGTCATGCAGTCAACAAGTAACGAGCTAAATTGACCAACTAGTTACGAAAACAAGCCCCCCTGGACTATAAAAATATGGATTTCACATAGTCGCCATACTGGATTTTTTTTAAGAGATTATACCATGATTTTGGTCAAAAATTGGAATTTCCTCTTTGATTGTTTTTGAACAAGCTGGGCCTTGAAATAATGTTTGCTGATCATCCAGTAAGGAAAAAGCCTTCTTAGACGAAAAAAAAATATCGATTTTACACAGTGGACATATTTGGATTGTTTCACAGGGTTAACCTATGATTTTGTTCAAAAACTAGAAAAATTTTATCTCAGTTCGATTTTGGACAAATGAGCCTTGAAATTATGTTTGATGATCATCCAAGTAGAAAACAGGCCTTCCTAGACTATACTAATATTGATTCTAAACAATGGCCATATTGAGATTTTTTCAAAGGGGTTAACCCATGATTTTGGTCGAAGATTGGAAATTTCATATTTGCTTGTTTTTAGACAAAATAGCCTAAATAATAATAAATAATAATCTCTGATGATCATCTCATTAAAAAATAGGTCCTCCTACACTATCAAAATATGGATTTTATACAGCCATCATACTGTAATTTTTTCAAAGGGGTTAACCCATGATTTAGGTCAAAAAATGGAATTTTCCTTTAACGTTTGCTCACCATCCAGTAAGAAAACAAGCCTTTGTAGACCAAAAAATATGGATTTTACGAGTCGCCATATTGAGATTTTTCCAAAGGGAAACCTATGATTTTCGTCAAAAGTTGCAAATTTCCCCTTTATTTGTTTTCCACAAAATGAACTTTGAAATAATGTTCGATGATCATCCAGTTAGAAAGCAAGCCCTCCTAAAGTACAAAAAATATCGAATTTACAGAGTTACCAGACTAGATTTTTCCGAAGGGATTAAACCAAGATTTTGGTCAAAAGATGGAATTTTCCTCTTTGCTTGTTTTTGAGCAAACTGGGCTTTGAAATAATGTTTCCCAATCATCCAGTTAGAAAACAAGCCTTCCCAGACTGAAAAATATCGATTTAACACAGTGGACATATTGACATTTCAGTCAGTCAGTCTGCCAGTCAGCCAGTCTGTCAGTCAACCAGTCAGTCAGCCTGTCAGTCAGTTTGTCAGTCAACCAGTCAGTCAGCCTGCCAGTCAGTGAGCAAGTCATCAGTCAATCAGTCAGTCAGTATATTAGTCAGTCAGGCAGTTAACAAGTCAGTCAGTTAGTGCTGCTCACTGCGGAAGCCACAATGTAGATTGCATGTCTGATCTAGCCCACAGTCAGTTTTACATCTCTCCATCTTCCATGTGAAAATCATGAAAACTTTGAACAAAGATCTAACCACAGTGCCAACAAAAATTCGAGCTCTTTTATGGTTATCAAATTATTTCAGATTTTGCAAAATTTGGAAATTATAAGATTTTAGTGATCAGCCCTTTTTAATATTTTAACAAAGTCGTTTTTGATAAAGCGCTAAGTTCAACCATTTGTTTAGGTTGTTGAGTTAAGGCTGCCATTTTGATTTGCAGATTTTCTTTTCAGCAACACTCTGATGAAATTAATTAATCGTTTTCTGTTGTGAACCTTTTTCTTAAACTTTCTGAGTGCAACTGTAGAATACATACATCTATTAGGTTCTTTGAACCAGAAATTGACTTGGCTGAATGATAATTATGAAACTTCAATGCACATTAACGTAAGCTTGGAGCACATTGCAATTTTATCTTTAAGCTGAAAAAATTAAAAGCTTGTTTTGACCTTTTAAGCCAACCTTTCCCTTGTTTTCTTTCACCTTTTTACATGTTTGTTGACACAATGATTATGAGCTTTAATTAAAGTTTTCAATATTATTATTGGGTCATTGACAATGTGGTAGCTCTAAATTTTTGCAATGATTTTGTAGTTGCAAAAATTGGCACATGAAAATGATGTAAAACTGTTTTTTACTAAACTATAGCAGAACTTAGCATATAACTACAACATACATGTAGCTGTGGCAAAACTGATCAAAAGCAAGCTAATACTTATCCAGGAGTAACATCAAAAATCTATTTGGCATGATTAATTATCAAGCCAAATTTTTTAAACTGAGTGGTTCTTTGCACAACAGGATTATAAAATTGAATTTTATAGGCATTTTCTTTGAATGAGATGAAGGCTGTGATAATTCCAGAATCCAGTCCGAAAATCAATGTGAAACTGCTACATGTACCTTGCTTCAGTGATTCATTGAAACTCTCAAATTAATTTTCAAGTGGTATGAACACTTAAAAGTGTTTTGGACAGTTTTCCTTTATTTTGTGTAGCGGTGATTTGGATTGCCTTCTGAGCTTCAAATACAGACCGAAAAGGTTATATTTAGGGTCAAGTGAATCTCTCCAACTACACTCAGCCACCGGATGCTTTGAAAATAAACATTGATTCAACTCATGTTTATCAATTAACTTCAATTCTTTGAAATGTTCCTGATTCTGTTCAAAATCAAAACCAACTCTTCTGCACAACAGCAACTAAAGAAATTTTGCACTCAACTTTATACGGAAATCAGCTGTCAATACTTTTGCCCTGTATTTTTTACTTATTATAACTAATTTCTACAGTAGAAAGAATTGTATTAAGAAACGTCGTAGCATAAAAATCCCTGTGCAAAGAAATCTCCACATGACTTGCATCATGTGAATTTTGTAGCAAACTACTCAGTGTGTGCAAACCAACCAATCCCTTAAAGATGCACTTTACTGTTAACTACTTTAAAGTGCATTTAAATGCATTTTTAATTTTGTGTCCTGGATAAGATTAATAATAATTGTCTTTTGAACAAGCAAGCCACATTTTGTTTATCTGGTTCACTCAAGAGCTGGATTACAAAGTAATACGGTACTTAAGATAACCTGTAAAGCCTTAATGTTGAAGACTTGATCCTGTCTGTTTGTGGCATACAGTGTAATGCATCTGATCTGGATAAGAAAAACATGAGCATACATCAGCATGTAAGTCAAGTTACAATCATAAACATTACAATAGTTATTATTCTGTTTATCAATTCATATATTCTCTTAGAACCATAACAGTCAAACCCCTTTTATCAATATGTTCACTGAGCCCATGAGCATGACCTCACGCTATTTTTATAGGAAACAAAAGGAAAATGAAACCAAAAAAATTCCTAGCTGCTCAATTTCCCGCTGACTAACTATGTAGATCCAGAAACTTAAAGACTTAGTGACAGCCCTGCTAGTGGATGAGAAGGGAAACTAGTGCCTAGAAAAGTGGGATCATTATACGCTTCTGGGAAACTGCCCACCTACCCCTCCCTTAAGCCAGCTTTTTGCCCTAAGTGAGAAGTAAGTGTTAACGTTGGCTTAGGGGAGAGGTAGGTCGGGAGTTTTCCAGAAACATATGATGATCCGAAAAGTGGTGGTAGGGAACTTAAATTAGCAAGGAAAGCATGAGGAGGTAATCATACAAGAGGCCCCACCACTCATCACAATGATTTACAATGAACCAGTAAAGCTACTGAAATGAAAACCTATGCTTGAAATGTGACCTAAACCTCCTTCAACCTTTATGTGATTATTCTACTCCTTCTGCAGTCGTAGAAGGTAATGCGTGTTATGTGAAATGAATCACCGTTCATTATATAAGCTTTCAACTAGCTTTTATGACTTTCATTTTTTCTTTTAGCTGAAATTTTTAAAAGACAAAATGTTAAAGCTTTTATACGCTTTTAAGTGCGTAAGACTCATTTCATCGTCTAAAAGGTTTGAAAAGATGTTCAATTTGGAAACTAAGCATTTAAGTGAATAAAACTCATTTCATCATCTAATCGCTTTTAATTTGTCATAATTGTTTGAGAGAAATCTCCATACTTATGAAATAAACAAAAAACTTCATGGTTGGTTCTCTTATACAATTTTTATTCATGAGTTGTGAGGAATCGTAAACTCACTTGTTCGCTGCACTCACTCATTCGTTTGCGATTCTTCACAACAAGTGAATAAAAATCGTACACACTCACCAACCATGAACAAATCTCTGTGTCCGCCACCCTGCCAAATATACCTGCTCTACAGGCTATAGCCATCAAAGAAAAAAAACCAAGGCAGCCACAAAATAACAAAATAAAATCAAATGAACAAGTTATTTTGAATTCAAGACTGCAATCGTTTGAACAACTGACAGATTGGTGGCTTTAAATAGAGTTAATGTAATGTCACACATGGTATATGCACATAATGTATTCCTGTAAAGAGAATTGTTTACCTTGTTTTTAGAGCTGCCCTTTCTTCCTGATCCTGTTTTCTGACTGTATTACATTGTCCAGCAGGTTGACATGTTATTCTTCTTCATCAAGACTTCAGAACTTGTGACGCAAAATAGTCCATTCCTTAAAGAAAAATATTTATTGATAACAATTATTAATTTAAACTGTCTTAAAAAAAAAAGAACTTGTCAAAGCATTTATCAGAAAACCCAACAGCATATCCTAGCTTAGTTTATTTGAAACAAAGCTGTTTATTTAAGGTGGATGTTGGATCACTGGGTTGACCAGGATGACTGAGATGACTGAGATGATTTGTGTAAGTGGGATGACTACAGGCTGTGTTTTCTGTGTACCATGGGACAATTAATGTTTGTTTGCAGAGTGCCTGGGTGAGTGACTAAAATGACTGGGATGTTTGGGATGCCTAGGATGACTAGGATGACCTGGATGACTAGGCTGACTCGGATGACAGGAATAACTAAGATGACTAGAGTGACTGGGTGAGTGACTAAAATAAATGGATGACTGGGATAACTGAGATGTCTGGAATGACTAGAATGACTAGGGTGACTCACTTGACTGGAATAACTAAGATGACTAGAGTGACCAAAATGACTGGGATGTTTGGGATGCCTAGAATGACTGGGATGATTAGGATTGCTAGGATGACCTGGATGACTAGGGTGACTGGGATGACTGGAATATCTAAGACAACTAGAGTTACTTGGTGAGTGACTAAAATGACTGGGATGTTTGGGATGCCTAGGATGACTGGAATGACTAGGATTGCTAGGATGACCTGGATGACTAGGGTGATTGGGATGACTGGAATATCTGAGATGACTAGAGTTACTTGGTGAGTGGCTAAAATGACTGGGATGTTCGTGATGCCTAGGATGACTGGGATGACTAGGATGGTGGGGATTGCTAGGATGACTAGGATGACCTGGATGACTGGGATGACTGGGATGACTGGGATAACTGAAATGACTAGGATGACTAGGGTGACTCACTTGACTGGAATAACTAAGATGACTAGAGTGACTGGGTTCACGAGTGACTAAAATGACTGGGATGTTTGGAATCCCTAGAATGACTGGGATGACTAGGATGACCTGGATGAATAGCAGGGCTGACAAAAATGGACAGCAGTTTGCCAGTCATGATGACCGGCCAAATATTTTTTAGCCCGCACAAACCCTGATTCTGGCCGGTCAAAATTTAATAATGAATACTATAAATTTTTTTGGCCTAAGGAATATCGAATTATGCTGGCAATAGATCATTTTACTACGTTGACGTTCGCATTTCTGACAGCAAGTTGGTGAAAAATGCATTCACACATTGCAGAGTTCCTTTCCATGGTTTTTGCGTGTTTTAATGTCCGTTCTACCTTGTGTTTTTCACAATCCTCTTTCAAGTAAAAGTCAAATGTTCAACGGACTAACTCTTAGATCATAAGAACAATCCGTTAGAGTGTTGGAAGAAATCATTAAAGCACTTAGACAAATCGTTAAAACGTTTAGACAATCCGTTAGAACGTTTGGGCAAAACGTTAGAGAGTGAGAAAAACCGTTAGCTATCCGCTAGTTTTGTAAAGGATAACAAACTATCATTGGTGTACGTTTTCCCAAAGAAGAAAGTCACCTATCTTGGGGGCCAGGTTGGCGACTAGACATGAAAATTAGTCGCCACTGAGTAAAAGTTGGTAGCACTGGTAACCCCACAGGTCGCAACATCAAGCCTTGCTAGGATGACTGGGATGAATTGTGTGACTGGGATTGGATGGCAGGGTGATGGAGATGATTGAGATGACTGGGATGATAAGGGTGACTGTGATGATTGGGATAACTTGGATCACCAGGATCACTAGGGTGTCTGGCATGACTATGGTGACTAGGAGGACTAGGATGACTAGGGATGATTTGGATGGTGGAATGTTTGAGATGACTGGTATGACTAAGAAGACTAGGGTGACTGGGGTGACTGGGCTGACTAGAGTAACTAGGGTGAATAAAATGACTGGGAGTCAATGAGATAAGTGGGATGACTATAGCCTGCGAATACAGCTGTCTCTTCTCACTCCTCGCAGCTAGTAGGGACGTTTCGCAGGAGAGATGTCTACTCCTTAATGAAAAAAATTCCACACTGACGATGCAAATCAATGTTTACATAATGTAATCTAGTAGTCATGGGGTTCCAACTACAAATTTGCTTGAGTTTGTGTTCCTCCTGGTCTATTGTGGTTACGTTGTTAGTTCTCCAGTGAATGAGCGGCAAAAACACTCTTTGTGCGTTTTGTTTTGTCTTTTCTGTCCTTTGTAAACAAAAAGCTAAAACAATGCAATTAATATGTCACCCAATCAGAACTCCTGACCAGATTTAGCACAAATTTTATGTCATTGCGATGGAATTTCTGTCATTAAGGCGCAGATGTCTCTCCAATGAAACTTCCCTTGAGGAAAGGAGAAGGTAGAGAGAAATTGTAAGGGCTTTCTCCAGGGACATAGAAAAATGTCCGTAATGAGGTGTAAACCCCAGGTAAGTGAGGTTAACCCGCTTAAGTGGGGTAACCCGCTTGTCCACATTCAACCACATGTACGTCACAGGAAAAAATAACTGTGGGATTAGCCCTTAAACCTCCTACTTAGTAACCGTGCTCGACATATATATCCTGATATGATTGTTCTATAGTTCAGTTGACCTTAGGCCTTGCTCATGTAATCTCCTTTAACAATTAAATAGTATAACCTTGAATATATACTTGGCCTCCACTCTTCGTTTCGCCTNACCGGATGCTTTGAAAATAAACATTGATTCAACTCATGTTTATCAATTAACTTCAATTCTTTGAAATGTTCCTGATTCTGTTCAAAATCAAAACCAACTCTTCTGCACAACAGCAACTAAAGAAATTTTGCACTCAACTTTATACGGAAATCAGCTGTCAATACTTTTGCCCTGTATTTTTTACTTATTATAACTAATTTCTACAGTAGAAAGAATTGTATTAAGAAACGTCGTAGCATAAAAATCCCTGTGCAAAGAAATCTCCACATGACTTGCATCATGTGAATTTTGTAGCAAACTACTCAGTGTGTGCAAACCAACCAATCCCTTAAAGATGCACTTTACTGTTAACTACTTTAAAGTGCATTTAAATGCATTTTTAATTTTGTGTCCTGGATAAGATTAATAATAATTGTCTTTTGAACAAGCAAGCCACATTTTGTTTATCTGGTTCACTCAAGAGCTGGATTACAAAGTAATACGGTACTTAAGATAACCTGTAAAGCCTTAATGTTGAAGACTTGATCCTGTCTGTTTGTGGCATACAGTGTAATGCATCTGATCTGGATAAGAAAAACATGAGCATACATCAGCATGTAAGTCAAGTTACAATCATAAACATTACAATAGTTATTATTCTGTTTATCAATTCATATATTCTCTTAGAACCATAACAGTCAAACCCCTTTTATCAATATGTTCACTGAGCCCATGAGCATGACCTCACGCTATTTTTATAGGAAACAAAAGGAAAATGAAACCAAAAAAATTCCTAGCTGCTCAATTTCCCGCTGACTAACTATGTAGATCCAGAAACTTAAAGACTTAGTGACAGCCCTGCTAGTGGATGAGAAGGGAAACTAGTGCCTAGAAAAGTGGGATCATTATACGCTTCTGGGAAACTGCCCACCTACCCCTCCCTTAAGCCAGCTTTTTGCCCTAAGTGAGAAGTAAGTGTTAACGTTGGCTTAGGGGAGAGGTAGGTCGGGAGTTTTCCAGAAACATATGATGATCCGAAAAGTGGTGGTAGGGAACTTAAATTAGCAAGGAAAGCATGAGGAGGTAATCATACAAGAGGCCCCACCACTCATCACAATGATTTACAATGAACCAGTAAAGCTACTGAAATGAAAACCTATGCTTGAAATGTGACCTAAACCTCCTTCAACCTTTATGTGATTATTCTACTCCTTCTGCAGTCGTAGAAGGTAATGCGTGTTATGTGAAATGAATCACCGTTCATTATATAAGCTTTCAACTAGCTTTTATGACTTTCATTTTTTCTTTTAGCTGAAATTTTTAAAAGACAAAATGTTAAAGCTTTTATACGCTTTTAAGTGCGTAAGACTCATTTCATCGTCTAAAAGGTTTGAAAAGATGTTCAATTTGGAAACTAAGCATTTAAGTGAATAAAACTCATTTCATCATCTAATCGCTTTTAATTTGTCATAATTGTTTGAGAGAAATCTCCATACTTATGAAATAAACAAAAAACTTCATGGTTGGTTCTCTTATACAATTTTTATTCATGAGTTGTGAGGAATCGTAAACTCACTTGTTCGCTGCACTCACTCATTCGTTTGCGATTCTTCACAACAAGTGAATAAAAATCGTACACACTCACCAACCATGAACAAATCTCTGTGTCCGCCACCCTGCCAAATATACCTGCTCTACAGGCTATAGCCATCAAAGAAAAAAAACCAAGGCAGCCACAAAATAACAAAATAAAATCAAATGAACAAGTTATTTTGAATTCAAGACTGCAATCGTTTGAACAACTGACAGATTGGTGGCTTTAAATAGAGTTAATGTAATGTCACACATGGTATATGCACATAATGTATTCCTGTAAAGAGAATTGTTTACCTTGTTTTTAGAGCTGCCCTTTCTTCCTGATCCTGTTTTCTGACTGTATTACATTGTCCAGCAGGTTGACATGTTATTCTTCTTCATCAAGACTTCAGAACTTGTGACGCAAAATAGTCCATTCCTTAAAGAAAAATATTTATTGATAACAATTATTAATTTAAACTGTCTTAAAAAAAAAAGAACTTGTCAAAGCATTTATCAGAAAACCCAACAGCATATCCTAGCTTAGTTTATTTGAAACAAAGCTGTTTATTTAAGGTGGATGTTGGATCACTGGGTTGACCAGGATGACTGAGATGACTGAGATGATTTGTGTAAGTGGGATGACTACAGGCTGTGTTTTCTGTGTACCATGGGACAATTAATGTTTGTTTGCAGAGTGCCTGGGTGAGTGACTAAAATGACTGGGATGTTTGGGATGCCTAGGATGACTAGGATGACCTGGATGACTAGGCTGACTCGGATGACAGGAATAACTAAGATGACTAGAGTGACTGGGTGAGTGACTAAAATAAATGGATGACTGGGATAACTGAGATGTCTGGAATGACTAGAATGACTAGGGTGACTCACTTGACTGGAATAACTAAGATGACTAGAGTGACCAAAATGACTGGGATGTTTGGGATGCCTAGAATGACTGGGATGATTAGGATTGCTAGGATGACCTGGATGACTAGGGTGACTGGGATGACTGGAATATCTAAGACAACTAGAGTTACTTGGTGAGTGACTAAAATGACTGGGATGTTTGGGATGCCTAGGATGACTGGAATGACTAGGATTGCTAGGATGACCTGGATGACTAGGGTGATTGGGATGACTGGAATATCTGAGATGACTAGAGTTACTTGGTGAGTGGCTAAAATGACTGGGATGTTCGTGATGCCTAGGATGACTGGGATGACTAGGATGGTGGGGATTGCTAGGATGACTAGGATGACCTGGATGACTGGGATGACTGGGATGACTGGGATAACTGAAATGACTAGGATGACTAGGGTGACTCACTTGACTGGAATAACTAAGATGACTAGAGTGACTGGGTTCACGAGTGACTAAAATGACTGGGATGTTTGGAATCCCTAGAATGACTGGGATGACTAGGATGACCTGGATGAATAGCAGGGCTGACAAAAATGGACAGCAGTTTGCCAGTCATGATGACCGGCCAAATATTTTTTAGCCCGCACAAACCCTGATTCTGGCCGGTCAAAATTTAATAATGAATACTATAAATTTTTTTGGCCTAAGGAATATCGAATTATGCTGGCAATAGATCATTTTACTACGTTGACGTTCGCATTTCTGACAGCAAGTTGGTGAAAAATGCATTCACACATTGCAGAGTTCCTTTCCATGGTTTTTGCGTGTTTTAATGTCCGTTCTACCTTGTGTTTTTCACAATCCTCTTTCAAGTAAAAGTCAAATGTTCAACGGACTAACTCTTAGATCATAAGAACAATCCGTTAGAGTGTTGGAAGAAATCATTAAAGCACTTAGACAAATCGTTAAAACGTTTAGACAATCCGTTAGAACGTTTGGGCAAAACGTTAGAGAGTGAGAAAAACCGTTAGCTATCCGCTAGTTTTGTAAAGGATAACAAACTATCATTGGTGTACGTTTTCCCAAAGAAGAAAGTCACCTATCTTGGGGGCCAGGTTGGCGACTAGACATGAAAATTAGTCGCCACTGAGTAAAAGTTGGTAGCACTGGTAACCCCACAGGTCGCAACATCAAGCCTTGCTAGGATGACTGGGATGAATTGTGTGACTGGGATTGGATGGCAGGGTGATGGAGATGATTGAGATGACTGGGATGATAAGGGTGACTGTGATGATTGGGATAACTTGGATCACCAGGATCACTAGGGTGTCTGGCATGACTATGGTGACTAGGAGGACTAGGATGACTAGGGATGATTTGGATGGTGGAATGTTTGAGATGACTGGTATGACTAAGAAGACTAGGGTGACTGGGGTGACTGGGCTGACTAGAGTAACTAGGGTGAATAAAATGACTGGGAGTCAATGAGATAAGTGGGATGACTATAGCCTGCGAATACAGCTGTCTCTTCTCACTCCTCGCAGCTAGTAGGGACGTTTCGCAGGAGAGATGTCTACTCCTTAATGAAAAAAATTCCACACTGACGATGCAAATCAATGTTTACATAATGTAATCTAGTAGTCATGGGGTTCCAACTACAAATTTGCTTGAGTTTGTGTTCCTCCTGGTCTATTGTGGTTACGTTGTTAGTTCTCCAGTGAATGAGCGGCAAAAACACTCTTTGTGCGTTTTGTTTTGTCTTTTCTGTCCTTTGTAAACAAAAAGCTAAAACAATGCAATTAATATGTCACCCAATCAGAACTCCTGACCAGATTTAGCACAAATTTTATGTCATTGCGATGGAATTTCTGTCATTAAGGCGCAGATGTCTCTCCAATGAAACTTCCCTTGAGGAAAGGAGAAGGTAGAGAGAAATTGTAAGGGCTTTCTCCAGGGACATAGAAAAATGTCCGTAATGAGGTGTAAACCCCAGGTAAGTGAGGTTAACCCGCTTAAGTGGGGTAACCCGCTTGTCCACATTCAACCACATGTACGTCACAGGAAAAAATAACTGTGGGATTAGCCCTTAAACCTCCTACTTAGTAACCGCGCTCGACATATATATCCTGATATGATTGTTCTATAGTTCAGTTGACCTTAGGCCTTGCTCATGTAATCTCCTTTAACAATTAAATAGTATAACCTTGAATATATACTTGGCCTCCACTCTTCGTTTCGCCTCCGATAATCGCACAATAACGGATTCCCGTTTTTGGATATTTTAGGGTATTTAAAGAATACCCACAAAAATCCAAAATTTGGAAGAGTGAGACGAGTCCCAATCAGGGAACTTGGTTGGGAATTCTCTGGTTGGGACTTGTCTCACTTTGCCAAATTTGGGATTTTTATGGGTATTCTTTAAATACCCTAAAATATCCAAAAATGGGAATCCGTTATTTTTTCCTCCAGATGCAAATAATTAAGTGGCCGGGTGTTTTGAAGGTAACCTTAATCCTAAAAATACTATTAACTGAATATTATTTGCTCATGAGTCCAACACTTTCTACTAAATAGTCGTAAACTTTAAGTTAAGCTCACTATCATACCTCAAAAGACCTGTGTCGGATTTTTCAAGACTTCTGCCATGCCATGTCCGGGAATGTTCAGCCCATAAATAACTCCAAGTGTTGAAGAATGGGTTAATGAACCGATGGATGTCAAATCCGAGTTCTTAAAGTCTATAGTAATGTCAAGTTGGATACATTAAAAATACACATGTTCCAGTTTGGGTCACTCCGTCGCCATGTTGGTCTCTTTTAGAACCCAGTCTCAATTGGCGCGTGAGTCTCGCGCTACATGTACTCGTTTCGCGTTTTTCGAGTGCTCGTAAACGGGCTCCCAGCTGTAGTTTGTAGTCTTCTCCAAGGGCATCAGAAAATATATATTACTGGCTGTAGTGACGTTTTTCGCGAAATTTCATTATTTACGTGTGAGACTGATCAGTAATTCTATCTTCTAAGAAGCGACGAGTATTTCAACTGAGTAATGAAACTCTGCCTCGCGCGCTCCTCGCCGCTAGGGACGTTTCGCGGACGAGACACGTCTCTAGCGAGGAGAGACGACTGTATTTGCAGGCTAATGACCAAACACATGGCATACCTGTGGGAGCGCAAAAAAATGGTTCAAAAAGAGTCCATAGCTGGGTTTAAAGGAATTCTCAATCAGACTGAGCTGCACCAAGGAACGAGAACCCAGAGCCAGTAGCCAAATGTCACGGGAATCCATGACAGTCTGGGATTCTCGATTCCACGCCGTCACGGATTTCAGGATTCCAGGTACTGGATTTTAGTCTCTATCACTAGAACTTGGATTCTGCATTTTAATTGTTAGTGGATTCCTTAAGCTGTATTCCGGACTCCAAAGCCCAGGATTCCGGATTCAACATGCAAAATTTTCCGGATTTCGGATCCCACATGCAAAAATTTTCCGCATTCCGGAATCCGGATTCCCTTCCATGGGGTGAAGCTTGCTTGGTAGGTGCATAAAGGGGAGGGGATACTGGGGAGAAAAGAAGAACTTCACCTCCCTTTCCCTCCTAATGCCTGCCATGTAGGCTAGGATTGNACACGTCTCTAGCGAGGAGAGACGACTGTATTTGCAGGCTAATGACCAAACACATGGCATACCTGTGGGAGCGCAAAAAAATGGTTCAAAAAGAGTCCATAGCTGGGTTTAAAGGAATTCTCAATCAGACTGAGCTGCACCAAGGAACGAGAACCCAGAGCCAGTAGCCAAATGTCACGGGAATCCATGACAGTCTGGGATTCTCGATTCCACGCCGTCACGGATTTCAGGATTCCAGGTACTGGATTTTAGTCTCTATCACTAGAACTTGGATTCTGCATTTTAATTGTTAGTGGATTCCTTAAGCTGTATTCCGGACTCCAAAGCCCAGGATTCCGGATTCAACATGCAAAATTTTCCGGATTTCGGATCCCACATGCAAAAATTTTCCGCATTCCGGAATCCGGATTCCCTTCCATGGGGTGAAGCTTGCTTGGTAGGTGCATAAAGGGGTGGGGATACTGGGGAGAAAAGAAGAACTTCCCCTCCCTTTCCCTCCTAATGCCTGCCATGTAGGCTAGGATTGCTGATTTGTACTCGCCTCGGCAGTAAAGGGTCTTTGACCCAAAGGTTGCCATACTGATGAGCCCCAATAAGGGCAAAAAAAACTGTCCATAGCTGCCACTGCCCGGGTGATATGGTGTGGGCATGGGTAAGGTACTGGCCATACCGCGGAGTTAATAGCGTGTGCTTCAGTCCTGAAATATTTCATTTTACAGTTATGGATGGAAGCGAGGCTGAGGGTGACCTTGTTTTGATACAAACCTTCTTTGCTTTGTTGTGAAAATTTTTCTTGAAAAATACTATTTAGCATAAGAATAACTTGATTTACATAATAAATAAGGAAGGTTTGTATCAAAACAAGGTCACCCTCAGTCTCGCTTTCATCCATAACTGTAAAGTGGCCTATTAGATGATTTAGCCTGAATTTCATCCGATTACTTCGAGTCATTATTACTCCCTCAGTTGCTGAGGGGAGAAAACGACTCGAAGCAATCGGATGAAATTCAGGCCAATTGGTATTATGAACTCAAGCACAAGTCAGGGGCAGGTCTAAGAGGGGGAGACTGGGGGTGCGCACCCCTCCCCTGAGATGACCTGCGGCTTTCTAATACAACAGGTATTCCGCAAAAAAAAACCTTGTGGTTTATTGGTGTGAATTAAAACATGTGACGAGGTTGAAGAATTTCAGTGTTAAACGCCGTAAAAATGGTAGTTGAAATGTTAGTTCCTTAGTGGAGCACCCTTTACTAAGAAAAATCCTGGATTCGCCCCTGCACGTATTAAACGCTGGCAGCAAAATGAAGCTCAACTCGTAAAGCCCATGAAACGCTCAGCAAGTTCGTCGGTGTAATTGCAATACGATGAGTGATGGTTTATAAGCAGGAGAAAGCCTCGTCAAGCTCCTAGGGATCGTTATTCCGCGCGGTCTGTGCGTTTCGGCTCACGTGTTCAAAGAGAGCAAGCTTAGCCTGAGGAAAGAGCGAAATGATATCCGAGGAACGGGCGCAGAAATTTCATACTGATAACGTGTAACTCCCTAGATCTGGGTAGTGCTTCTGATTGGTTGAAGCAGATTTCCCTCGGGGCACGACTGATCAGAAGTGCTACCCAGACCTTAGAAGTGACAGCAATATGGAGGGCGCTCGATAATTCCTCAGTACTCTCCCTTCTTCTCCCCTCCCCCCTCAATCAGCTGCTTGCATGGCAAGGGAAAACGTTTAAAAAGAAGAAACGAAAAAGGGAATCCAGACAACCTGGGAGACTGGGGGCTAGCTTGGGGAACACGTGACTTATGAAAGGTCGGTAATTTTCTCTTCACTTTA